CGATGTTCTACCTCGTACTGGAATTCTTCCATGAACAACGCCCATCTCGCGACCTTGGCTGGCAGGTCACGCTTGTCCAATGTCTTCCGGAATGCATCACAGTCCGTTACGATCCTGAATTTAATACCCTGTAGGTAGACTCGGAATTTCTTCAACGCGTTGACGATGGCGAGCACTTCCAATTCATACGAGTGAAGCTTCTGCTCGGCATCCGACGTCTTGCGGCTCATATAGTAGACTGGATGGAAGCTGTCGTCTACTGAGTCCTTCTGCAGCAGAATTGCCCCGTAACCCAGCTTGCTGGCGTCCGTATGGAGTTTCGTGATTGCGTCCGGCTTGTAGATTCGCAGCACGGGCTCCTTCGACAATATCGCCTTCAACCTGTCAAACGCCTCCTCTTGTGCCGCTCCAAAACCGAACCCCTTATTGTCCTTCAGGAGATCAGATAATGGTCGAGCGATAATTGCGTAATCTAAAACAAACTTGCGAAAATAGCCTGTTAAACCAAGGAAACTTTGGAGATCCTTTCGACCCTTGGGCCTTGGAAACTTCTGCACTGCTTTGATCTTTTCGTTGGAGGGACGAACACAGCCACCTCCGACAATATGTCCAAGGAACTCCACCTCTCGTTCCAGGAACTTGCATTTCTTCCAGTTGATCACCAACCCATTTTCAGCTGCAACTCTCAGGGTTTCGCGAAGTCCGTACATTGCTTCTTCTTCATTTCTACCCGGTATGACGACGTCATCTAAATACTTGCGGATAATGCGTCGCCTGATGAGTTCATAGAAAACTTCCTCCATGAATATCAAAAATTCGGTCGGACTGTTACACAGACCGAATGGGGAAAACAGGAAATCATACTGTCCGTCAGGCGTCACAAAGGACGTATACTGCTGACTGTCTTCCGCAACTGGGACGTGGAAGAAGCCATTCTTCAGGTCGATCACCGAGAAAACTCGGGCTGAGGCCAAATCATCGATACAGTCTTCAATCAACGGTGTTGGAAACTGGCCTCGAATAATCTTCTTGTTGATTGGACGATAATCAATACAGACGCGGTAAGTTCCGTCTTTCTTCTTCACGAGTACCACAGCACTCGAATACGGGCTTCTACTGGGCTTGATGATTCCGTCCCTCAACCATTCATCGACTTGCTTCTGTAGGATCTGTCTTTCTTGCACTGACAGTCGCCGTGGTTTGGCACGAACGGGTTCTTGATCCTTCAGCACGATCTTCATCTCGACTTTAGGCCGCACCTGCTTGATTGGCTTGTAATCGTCTATCAGCTTCTTGATCTCTTCTGCGTAAGGTCCTCGAACACTGACTTCATCGGGCTCGACGTAGTTGATTGTAGACAAACCACCTCGCTCCCATTCTGCACTGACCTCATCGCCATCTTCGTCTTTGGGTCGGTTACCCGGCACACTCTCTTCGCCCTTGACCTCGTGCACGGGTGTTCCATCTTCAATTGCCGTTATCTTCCGGAATGTTGTCTGTCCACCAAGAATACGGATATCCATCTGTTTGAGTAGGTCTTTCCCCATGAGCATCCTCGTATCCATTGTTTCGACTGGAACGACATATACTTCGTTGCGATAAACTTCGTCTTGAATTGTCAGCTCTGCATCAAAGACGCCTTTCGCCTTGCTTCGCGCGTTTCCAAATCCTCTAAATAAGCGCACCGTCGGTTTTAGCGCAGGACTGCCGATCTTCACGTATTCATCTTCCCGTAAAATAGTTTTGGAACTGCCTGTATCCAGTATAGCCAGCGTGTCTATACCGTTAACTTGAATCGCGATGGTCTCTTCGTCAACAGTCACTCGGTTGATTTTTTCGTCTTTCTTGCTTGTCTTGTCTGGTTGCTCGCAATTACTTGACACGTGTCCGAACTGGTCGCATCGGAAGCACTTCGGTCCTTTGTCTTTGTGGGGACAATCCTTAACCGCATGATCCGGTGATCCACATGCAAAACAATGAGCCTTCTTTGTCGTTTGCTTCGCGTCCTTCTTTTCCTTCGCGTCCTTACCATCTTTGCTTGATTCGCCCTTTGCGTCAGCTTTACCTGCTGGTTTCTTCCGACCTGACTTCTCGCGCATGCGGTCATAGAGCTCCAGATTCTTCTTTATCTCGTCGATCGTCCGTGAGTTGTACAAAATCTGCTTGTTCGCTTCGAGATCCGGGATGCCGTCAATAATGTATTGGATAAGGGCCTCGTCTTCTACACGGCCTTGATTCGCGATCGTTCGCATAGCGTACACGTATTGACGCGGAGTCTCGTTGGCTTGACGCTTACGTTTCTGTAATTGAGAGTGGATTGTTGCGCTGTTAACCTCCACTTCGAATTCTTTAGTGAGACAATCTTTGAGAGCTGCCCACGACACCAGCCCTCGCTGTAAGGCAATGAATTGTTTCGCCGACCCGCAAAGCATCTTTTTTCCGTAAATTACCTTCTGTAAATCGCTCCATTGCAACAGGACGCTCGTATCTTCGAACTCCTCAATCCAATTTTGGATGGTCATTTTATCGTCACCGGTGAAAGTAGGGATACTTCCTTCAACGTCTTTGATAGTAAATGCAGCCTTCATGTGATTTACCTGTGTCATTTCTCGTTCGTTTGGTACGCCGTGCCGACGATTTGCTTGCACTCGCGTTTCGTCTTGCGTTTCTTCCGGGTCGTCTTCACTGTCGCTTTCCAATTCTTGTGTTCGAACTCGCCGGTCGGTT